AAAAGTCCAAGGATTAATATATTAAAGATAAATATACAGATATGTTTGTATGGGTGAGTCTAAACTCCCAACCCACATGGTACAACACACATCAAAAAAAAGTAAAAGATGGGTACATATAGAAATAAAAGAAAAAACTCAAAAAACCACTCAGGCGCTGAGAAAGTGTGTGTCATCCCAATCTAGTCTTGCCTCTGGCTCTAGTTCTCGGTAGGGATCCAACTAGCTGATTGGTAAAATGCTGACCATTACCCGTAGTAACCAAAGTATCATCCATAAGACTCCTGAGCTCTAGTAGATCTTCATTCTTCTTCTTCCTCCTGGAAGTGTAAACCTGTCATTTCTCCGAAGAATCAGCCTGATGGGGTAGAGTATTGCCTCTGGGTAGAGTCTTCCTCTGGGTCGCGTCTTCCTTTTTCTTCTTCCTCCTCACAGAAGACGGGACGGGGTTGTGTGCTCGTTTCCTCCTTCGTCTTCCTTCTCGACTTAGCTCGACTGTACCGAGTGTTTGGTCTCTTCTGTTCCTGATCGTCTTCGCTCGTCATTCTTGCCCTCTGACTGATTTTGCAGGGCTTCTAAGCTGTGATGGAGCTTCCTTCTTCTTCGATTGAGCCTGGCAAAGCCTCTTTTGCCCACGTGGTGAGTAATCCTCAGGTGGAGACGACGGTTGTCTTCCCCTCAAGTTATAAAGAATATCGTGATGGTATAGGTGACTATCCATTTATTAAGAATACAAGCAGAAAAAGTGGGAAAGCAGCACTCTTTTTTTCGGAGTTAGAAATTTCAACCCTTAGAAATTTCAACCCTGACTAAATTTCAACCCTGACTGAAAAATTCAAGTTTACTCTTATTGAAAAATTTCAGTGAAGTCAACCACCCATGAAAGTTATCACGAAAAGTTTTGATGATCTCAAATTAGCCGAAAAGTGGAAAGTGGAGCTCATAGATGGGAGGCATGTATTGATTCAATTAATCATGGCTGAAAACTGTACTCGGATTTTCTCCAAAAAATATCTCAGCATTGATGGTAAATCAATGAAGCTACTCAAGTGGTCTTCTGATTTTGACCCTAATCATGAACCTCCTACTGTACCGGTATGGTTCAGTCTACCAGGTCTCAAGCTGCCTTTTTTTCATCATCAGGTTCTTTATTCTATTGGGGTCATACTTGGGGACCCTATAAAGCTAGATCTACCGACTTTCAACCTAATCAGACATTCTGTGGTCAGAATACTTGTGAAAAGAGATATTACTTTACCTGATGTTACTGAATTGTGGTTGGGCACAACTCATAATGGATATTGGCAAAAAATCGTCATGGAGCATAGATCGTCTTACCGTTCTCATTGTAAGATGTTTGAGCATATCATCCTAATTTGAAATCTAAAGATCAATTGAATAAAAATAGATCTAATCCCACTACTATGGACATATTTGTTCCATCTTGAGAGAAAACTACCACAGAACAGGTTTTGGATATCGCTAAAGATCAGCCACCTACCATCCCTGCTGAGAAGGTGCAAACCGATCCTTTACCCAACATTGCAGTTCCTGATGAAGAACATCATACTACAGGTACAGATCCAAAAGTGCTTATACCACTCACTATTATTGAATAAGACTCACTTACATGCCAAGACACACGAGAGTACTTCTTTGATTCAATCAAAGATCAGCTGGTACAACAAGCAGTTACTTCTAATGTTCAACATCCTACACATGTCCGGCACACTTTAGACCAATCCACTGATCAGGCGAGTCAATCTTCGGATGAAGAATGGCAGGTCTATTCCAGGAGGAAGAAGAAGACTGAAGGCTGACTCGAGCTTGGAAACATTTTGGGGATGATACTTTGGTCACTACTGGCAATGGCACTCATCTTACCAATTTATTAGCTGGCTCCTTTCCTAGAACTAGGGTAGAGGCAAAGGAAAATTGGGTCGCTCTCTAGGATACGAAGTTTTTTGGCATTTTTGTTTCTTTTCTTTAGGTCTCTTGTAATTTTTTTTATTTTCTCTTTTTTTGGAACCATTTATATGTGATGGTTATCATGGGGGAAGGGTGTCATGCTTGGTCCCTTCCACACAATCTACATGTATCCTTATTTCCTTTTAATATATTAGCCTTTGGGCACACACACACACACACACACACACAATATATATATATATATTATATATATATATATATATATATTTATATATATCACCCCCTCTCTCCTCCTCCCCGTCTCTCTTTTTTCCCTCTCTCTAATTATCGACAACAGCTACAAGAGAACAGCAGAAGTGATAGCCATTCTCCATTCTTTATACCATTATTTTTCGAGCATGTTGAGAGCGAAAAGGCCAGGAAAAGCAAGCAAGTAAACAATCAAATTTTCACTCCAAAAGGTTTCGGTTGACTAAAATCTATCAAAAAACAACGCTATTAATTGGGCAACAAGCTGCAACTAATTGGAGGGTAGATCCATTAATTACGGAAGAGCAAAAACTAAGGTTCTTCTTTAGCATGTCAGCTAATCTTTTACAGCCTCGCATCTACAAGTCTTGGAACAATTAATCAAATTACAGGTTACTTGATCTATTGAGACTTGGATAGCAGGAAGCTATGGAAGACTAAATGAAGTAAACTTTCCCTCTTCAAGAGAGAATAAGGGCAACATTTCAAACAGCCTTGAATTAGCTTGAATTTTCAATGATACCAAATATCTCTAGCTCTCTTACAAGTCAAGGAAACATGGAAAGCCATGTAACAAAAAAGAAAAAAACAATTACTCAAAATAAAGTAAAGTTGAGACAATCCATATCATATTAAAATTGGAAAAAATTGACCAAGCATGAATACTAACAAGGAGAAATGAAATAATATCTAAAACAGCATGGAATTCCTAATGCCCATTTAAAGGAAATCTAGCAAAAGAAGCAACAACAATGTTGGGCATCCCAAACTTGTGTCATACCTGCAATGATAGAACCATATTTACACAGAAGGAAGGCAGCATAGTTAATCAAAGCAGCAGGATGATTTTGGTCTTTCAGGATCAAATCTTGAAAGCATTTTGCTGAAAGCTGCAAATTTCCACTATAAAAAATACATATAACATATTAGCACAACTCAAAATTAGTGTTGCAAGATGCAATAGCACTGGTACGTCGGAAGAAAAGTTAACCATCGAGAAAGAGGACTTATAAGAGTTTGTGGATCAATTTTGACATAGTTCAATAAGATGTCTTGTTGCAATGATCCCATTATGACCTGAAAGTTCTAGGGCTACAAACATTCTACAGCCCTAGCATGCATAAGTATTGTAGTAAATTTGAGTTACTTCATGTTATTTAAGTATTGTTTTTGCATTCTCCTAGCCAAATTGGCATTTTCTATTTGTATGAACTTGATTTAAAAAGGACTAATGAAAAATTTTGCCTCTTCAGTATATAAATATTATTATAAACAGTAGTTTTAAGTTATTAAGGAGATGATTGTATGAAAACTAAAATTTTTTACACCTGAGATTTTCAACCAGGCTCTTTTAAAGTTTTTGGAGAGTGTGTGATGCTTTTCTTTGAGTGATACAAGATCAGTCACAAAAAACATCTTCTAAGGTAAGCCACACATCCTCTTCACCAACCCTAACTGATATAGCATTTCAATTCTTATTCTCCTCTATAACACCATCCTACAACCTCACAAAGAGAACAACCTCACAAAGAGACTATATTACACAATATAACTCCATCCCCTTAATAAAAATCCCATCATTTGGTATTATAGCTTCTGTCAAATATAAATCCCTGCAACTACATTCTTTCTTGGATGTTAGAACAAAAAAATTATATTTTGATGGGCATGTTCTAGCATATCTTTTTGAGTTGCTATGTAGTATCTTTAGTTATCTTTATTTGAATTGTCATGGACAACAATTTCATGTTTCATTAATTGATATGATTAGGATGTTGGTAAAAATTTAAGAACTATACAGCTACATACTAAGATCAACTAATATAAATAGAGATACAAGAACCATGTGAATTGTTATTCTTTGCATGATTTCCGTCATCTCCTAAGTTGTGCATCAGCTTGTTCTCCAAAATCCCTAGTAGAATATCAATTCTCCTCTTAACATCTCTTCTCATTTCTCTCTTCTCTTTCCCTATGTAAAGGCTCCTACTTCTTGACTACTTTAAAGCTTGTACATATAATTTGTTGAAATCCCTTATAAATGTAGTATGGCCCAACTTCATCACAAAAATCATCACTGACAACATGTCATAGTGAACATCCTCACCGTAATTATGACCAACCAATATCTAGGCATCCAGAAAGTTTGGAATGAATTTTGATGCAAATTTTTGTTTCATAGCTGTTAACCAACAGGATCCTTTTGTTTTCTAAAAATGCTTTCAAGCACACATGGCCATAGCCCCAACCTTATCATAAATGCCCTAAATTATTTTGTGTAACATAGAACACCGCTAAGCTTGAGCCTATGCCGCACCCAAGCTACACTCATAATAGCACCAAGCTATACCAATTGCACCTGGCCACCGTTGAGAACTATACCCAGTCTAAGCACTGTCCCCAAAACAACACTTAGCTTGTGCTCAAACTGCACCCAACTAGACCAAATCTGTAACTAGTTGCAGCCAATCAGCCTCAATTTCAGCAAATCCTTTTTCAAGAAAAATCAAATTTATGGAAATAAGGCATGCAAAGATATTTTAACAAACATCTGCATCATATGTCACAAAAAGATTCATAAACTTTTCAAGTTGCTATAAATATCATTCGATAAACCTTGTCCCTGTAATTTTCAGTTATTTGCACGCTAAGTTGTTGCCATGATTACTTATTTTATTTACGAATATTGTAAAAGTAATATCCTTTAATGTTAAAATCAACACACTCCACCATCCAACCATCCAAGTCAACAAATCATTATAATTCCTAAAACTTTTTTATTGAGCCCAAATTAAACTATAGATCAACCACCAGCCCAACCCAACACAATCAACAAAACTGATTGAACTAACCCAAACCCTAGACTGACCCAAAAAACCAACCTAATTAAGTCATAAGCTATGAATAAAATAAAACAAAACAAAAGGTGAAAAATATTATTAATTTTGGTTGATCAGCCTAATTAATCAGTCTATTGAACTCATTTTATCATATTTTTTATTTCAAAATAAAACTTGACAACCACAACAATCTATTTTAAATTTTAGAAGCATAGATTTCTTTTATGGCTTGTGAAAGTAATTGAAGAAGATCAAAAATAAGATGCTTCTACTAATGTATTATAGATGGCATTTTTCCACTTTGTTCTCCCCCATTGAAAGGTGATCTCATTGTATTTCCAAGCTTGGGATGAATTCCTTCGGTGTACTCTTCTCTAAGATAGATTTCTGGTCAACCTCAAAATTATAGTAAAAGGCCAACAAGATCTTCCTTTAGTAGCATCCAAAATTTCAGAAGTTCCCAGCCCTCCAAAAGAGCTCAAGAAAAACATGAAAGTTATATGTTATTCATATAATAATTAATGCTAATGCATTGTTATATATGCATTTAGTTATTTTGAACAAAGGCAATAACATCATGTCCATCTAAAGATAAGCCTAGCATAATTTTAAATGAATTAAGGAGGTGTTGTCTTATATCCATGGATCGTCCATCATAGTTATAGATCCATGCATAATTAATGGTCAAGTTACTCTGAATGAAAATTATGATGTTGTGCATGGCACCCTTCCCTGCCTAGGTTGTAAGAATTTAACTTCAATCCTAAATCAAATATCGGTTCTCTTACTCCCCTTCCTCTCTGATTTCCTTGCAAGCCCAAGGGATCGTATTTTCTCCTCGTTCGAGGACTTCGACACTTATAAAAAAACTTCTGCAAATTATATTTGCTCCAGAGGGAAAGAGAACCTGACAAATGCGTCTCCTAGAAGAAATATTTAGCCAAATTAGCATGCCTCAATAGTTCAATGCATAAAGATAGATAACCAGAAGTGTTACCTTTGAAGGTATGCAATGCCAAGATTAGCGAGTGAGTCCAAAAAGTCTGGGGTGATAACCAATATACAAGAAAAAACAGCAATTGCACTCTGAAAAAATTGAAGCCGTGATAAGCATACACTGATTAATAAGGAAATCATATATCAACAATCGCTAATGGCGCAGTAGGAAAAAAGTCAAGAAAAATTAACTATACAACAATTAAGAACCTGAGGACGTCCAGTTCTTAGAAGTATAAGCCCAAGTGTGTTCCACACTGCTGCCTGCTTGGCATCTAAGTGCAATGAATCTTTTATCCTTGTAAGAATCTCATCTAATTCACTAGGCTCAAGTTCTTTATCAGAGCTATCGCCTATGTTTACCTGTATAATGCACTATAAATAAAGAAAACATTAAGAGTATATACACATTTCATTAACTGTCTCGGGATGTGTATATGATTAAGTTAAACAAGAAGAGAAGAATAGTTTAACTGATATATAAAAGCACCTGTGCGTGGTGATTGAGCACTAGAGAGAGCAAATCTGGTCTGCGAATTTCTTCTTCATCCCTTTGCAATATCTCTGATGATTTTTCAAATGCAGCAACAGCCTATTGAATAAAAATAATTACTAAATAAATAATATGATGAAATTGGGAGTAGAGTTGGCAGATAGGTAAGAAATTACCTTCTGAGGTTGGCCCAATCTTTGGTACATCAAACCAAGTAGGAAGTGTGCGTGAGCATTTTTGGGCATTTTTCTTGCAACATGTACCAAACCCTAAAAGCACAGAAGCCAATGTTCATTATTGAATGGCATTGAAACTTACTAATAGTGTCCAGACCACTTAAAATAAAAAACACAAACTCCACCACTTTACAAGGACTTGATGGCAGCTTGATGATAGCATACTATTTATCATTAGTTTAGTATCTAAACCATATAATGTAGTTAAGTCAGTTTCAGCTATCACGTATCTTTGAGAAGAACATGCATCACTCAAATTCACAGGCATTAAAACATTTAAAAAATATGGCTCGAGGAGCAGTTAAATCACAAGCTAGGAAATGAGTCGCCATGCCTCACATTTAAACTCCTTTTACTTCTCAGTACTTTATGCAATCACATATAGTAAACACATTAAATATTAAGCAAATGATGTGTGCATCACAGAGTTTACACACCATAAGGTTTCTCATTGTACTCCTTGTTTTCTTTATGTTATATTTTAGTTTAGACTAGGTAGTTTTCTTTCAATCAACTTTCCTCTACCATAAGGACTTTTGGAAGTCAAAATTATGGTTCTTTGTTTCTCAGATTGTTGGATTGGATGTTAAATCCCCTCAAAAGGACTGATGAGGTTCATAACTGATTCTCAGAGCTTGAAAGTACCATATCCTTACACTTTCAATAAGCAGCATAATAAGTTTTTGGGAAATTTAAATACCTAGCACACAATTCTTATATATATGCATATCCCACAGCTAAACTTTCATATTTCCATGCATAGCAGTTTGGTGCTTTAAATCAACGCCTGAAAAAGGTGTATTTCAATTTTAAAAAATAGTAATAGTGCTATTTCTTACATGATATATGGATTTGAGTGTTACGTGTGTAATATTAAAATTAAAGTGTGAGATATGTAAATACATAAGAATTATCCCAAATTTTTTTGTTACATTTAAATTCTAAAAGCCATGCAACAGTTCCTGCCATAACACAGTAGCTGGGAATCAGGCATGTAATAAGGAATGTGCATCCGCTAACATAAAATGAAGTCCCAAAAACCTATTAAAAAGATTATTCAGTCACTTCCCCTTTATTTATACATTCCTAGAGAAAGAAATGGCATAACCCACAATACACAAATTCTTACTGGTGTTTGCAGTAGTTAAGATGGTTATGAAAAAACAAAAACTATAAGTGAATGAAAGCAAAAGAGAAAATGCTAAGTTGATGATGCATTTTTTATATCAAGCATTAATGGGTTTTTTTTCCATCATTTCAGTGCCAACTCTTTCAGATATCTGCAATAACTTCAGCATTTCTTTTGCTGCAAGTATTTTGAGCCCATATATTTTGAAAATACAATGTAAAATAAAAGCAATGTATTATAATTACTCATTGTTGCAAGGAAACTAATTTTTCAAATGTGAAGTTTAAGGTCTGAGTCTACGGTTGATGGGCAACAAACACAGTATGAATGATGAGATAGAAAATATCGAGAGGAAGTAGTCTTATGGTAAGATTATATTTCACATGCTAAAACAATATTTGCCATCTCTATTATATTCTAGTACATAAAAGCTTTTATAAAGCACAAGTTCTATTGTTGCCTTTATTATCTTTTTATAACCTACCTTTTAAATCTGATCCTCATATTATAAAATCATCATATATTTCAAAATCCTATCCACAGTTTTTTATTGGCTAAGACAAGGATGTCAGGAAATCAAGCATAAGCAAACAAGAAAGTTTACAGGTAAAGGCACAGCAAAAGTCCATACGCCAGCAGGCAAAAGGGGGTGAGCGAATGATCGCAACAAGTGATATCAAAGAAAATCAAAAAACTATACGAAGCTGCTAAACAATGCAGCAGACAGCACAATAAGAGAGCAGATTAGTTCAAGCTTGTGCTTGACCAGCTAGGATATGGCAGCGCAAAGGAACATGAAAGATAGTGAGAGACGCCATGGTGAGGCAAGTAGCAAAAAGAGAGCCAACATAGCCCGACATCAAAGTAAAAGAAAATTGCCCAAATCAGGTGATTATTTTGGAGGAAAACTAGATCTTGTGAGAAAATTTAAAGCCCCAGGAATTACTTCGCATTTACTTTTTCCTTGCAACAAATATAAGAAAAAAAGATTAAAAGATGTAAAACTTTTAATTTATGATATTAATAATTGCAACCAAACAACCCCTTAAAGAGATAATTACATGAGTCAATCAAGCACTTCTTCGTCCTTCACAGTTGAAACTCAATTATAGCAAGTAAGATGACTAACAGACATTATCTAATCAAGACATTAAAGTTCTCAGACTAATAAATAAAAGGAATTAGATGAAAAAAAACTCACAGCTTTTAAGATGCTGACTTTTTCTTCACGGGAAAAAGAGACGCCATGGCATTGTTGATCCGGATCTGAGATCCAACTAATTAAATTTACTTAATACATTCAATTTGCGCTACCAAGAAATGCATTACCTTCACTTTCAATGACATCAGGATCTTTGTTGATTACAGTATTTTTTACTTCAGTAGTGTCATCATTGCTGCTCCTGCATAACCTAATGGAGTAGTTAAAGAAACAGTTGAAATTTTATTTTAACATTTACATATAACAACAAAAACAACAACAACAACAATTTTAACATTTACATATAAAAATAATATTCATAACAGAGAAAGTATGAAAATAACTGTAGACAGAAACAAAATCAGATGAATGGTCTCAGACAAAGAAGAGTTGCATGAGCATTATAATGTTCTTTATAGCTCAGTTCCAGCACAAATTAAAATCATGATAGCAGGTTTCTAAAAAGAAAAACAACTAAAAAACATAACTAAATAATCCTTTTTACTAGCAAGGCCGGATAGATGAAAAGATACATAGATACCAACATTTGATGCAGTTAAGCAATAGAAGCATGCAATTATTAGAACTCAAAGTATTACACAAATTAATTTTGAGCCTTCTCATTTCAAAATGAAAAGCAACTACACTAAATAACCAAACAGATTACATAATCAAGTAGATGACACAAACTTGAGACCATTTCATGGTATGATTCCTAAATATTGAAAAAAATTCAACCAAATTCAACTGCTCAAAACAAGAAATGTAGTTGTGAAGGTGCCCAGTTAAAGAGCTAACAGAAATACAAGAAACTAAGTTTAAACTAAGTTTCTTTTGAGTATAAGTGCTTGTAACTTGTGACAAGATCACTATGCGTTAAGGAAAGGTGGAGAAAAAAACAGCAGCCCCAGCTCTCATGAACAGCAACTTGTTAGAGAAACTAACAATTAGTTTGACCAAAAATCACATGCTGGAATTCCTGGTAACACTGGATCTTCATCCTGCAGCAATATGGTTATCTTTCTTTTTGAAATAAGGCAAGGCACAACATTTACATGGCTATTCATCACCTCCCAAAGTTTGAGAAATAAACAAAGCAGATTAGTCCTCCTTTCTTCTTCTCACTCCCTCTATCGCCATGATCCTCCAAAGGAATATTTCAAGTGGATGGTTGGGAAATTTTTAAGTGCTGTTGAGTCCCCGTAAGACACATTTGCATGGAATCTAAAAGTCCATGGCTTTTCCTCAGCAAAAGAGGAATTGAAGCAGCTATTTTTTGCTAAGGAAAAATCATACTCTTCTAAGAAACTGGTTAGTTTCATTATAACATTTCTTTTCACCTTTACCCACCAAGGCAAATTTGGGACTAAAAAAATCAAAAGTTAAATTTATTAACAATTACATCATAGTAATTAGGCACTAAATAATACAAAATCAAGGAAATTAAACTAAGATGACAAATGAATAAGAAATGATGCAACAGTTGCCCTTTATTTTAGAAAAAGTCGACTCAAGTTTAGAAGGCTGTGTCAAAGCTCATTTGATGGATGATAACACACAGATGTCAGCTACATTAGGAAAGTGAAATATTAAGCTCGAGTGGCAATGAGACTATTAAAGTGTTGTTGTTGATCCATGCATCGATAGAAATTAAGCCAAGCTTCTGTCTCTTTAGCTTAGAATAGGTACCTATGGTTGCACACCCAAATAAGTGTTTGCCCAAATGAAGGATCAATAGGCATACTCACTTAAAAGAGAAAATACAGGAGCTTTCCAAGACGGGCTCAAAAAGAATTCACCTAACAATCTTCATCGGCAAACTCGCCAATTGGGCTCCAGCGCAACTTGCCAGCTGAGTTCAAGGAATCCACCTACAAGGACTATGCCGCCTCACATGATAACAAAAAGGAAAAACATCAGCGACGCTCAGAAAGTAACTACTCAAAGCTAATCATAGACTTGTCAGACCTCAGACCAACCTTGATGGCCAACAAGACAAGACAGCCCTTACTTCCAGGGCGACCGACAAATCTATACATCTGATGGCTGACTACTAGTCCAAGTATGAGTCCAAATTTATATAAAGGCTACATGCCTCCTATGTTATTTTCTATATTTTTTTCTAAAAATGCAACTTATTATTACCTTTTCTATAGCGCTTGAGAGCCCAAGCCTAATCAATAAATAAGAGATTTAGGAAAGATCCAAGAGTTGCAGGTTTTCTTAGGTCTTCGGTTTTAGATTTTGCTTCTTTCTACTATACTCTTTTAAGCTTTCTAGTGAATTTTCCCTTCTCTATCATCTTCTCTCTTGCCCTTCTCGTTTCTTTTGAGTTAACAAGGTTGTAACATAGCTATGGACATAGCAGGATCCAAAATAGGGGAGTACTATTTACATAAGTAGATCATCATGAGATCACGTAAATTTAACTTTTTCACGAGTAAATAGAATTCAACCTGCAATTCGTAGTTTTTTGCATTGGCTATCATCTAGGTTTGCACCACCTATAGCATAAATTTGAAATTATTGGTCAAAACAGTACTTGCCTTATTGTGGGGCTTGGGAGTAAAAGTGATACCGACAACATGATCCGGGGATTTAGCATACATATTACAAAAGAGGTCAATCCAGTTAATCGATTTGCCATCAAACAAGAAGCAATTTTAGCATACTCAGGGACCTCGTCCCACTATTGTGGTTGATCCCCAACTAGGTATCGAATCATATTGGTAAAAGTTTGAATTGTAACATCTATTTTTTCGACAGTTTGTCGGTGATATGTCAATCTTCGACGAAGATCCATCCTCGGCTTCTTTCACAAATCCCTTCAAAAATAGCTCGCAAAGTTAACATCTAAGGTGTATCAAATATATATATTATTTGTACGATATATTATCTTTATTTATGAATTTTTATGTTTTTCATTGTATTTGTCATTGTATATGCAGTGCACAAATAACTCGGCAGCTTGGGGAGCAAAGAAGATGAAACAAACTCTAATCGTGTTGAATCAGGCTAAACATGATTGAGTTGGCGCCCAAGCGCCAGCCTTGGGCACCTAGATGGCTGTCTTGGATGACTAGGTATCCAAAACCAGAGCCACAGGCGCAAGTTCTGGGCTCCCATGCTCCCGTAGACAAGGGATTACGGTTTGACATCTCAAATTATGTAGTTTCACGAATGCTAAATATGCATCGACCGAACCATTTGGAGATCCGGTCACTGTAGAGTGTTCCAAAACTTGGTGAAGAGAGATCGGAGCCAGGAGTTTGAGAAGAACGCTCGTCGCATTCAACACCTTTGTCGGAGGAATCCTAGAAGAGTGTGAGTATGAGTGAGTATTCCTGAGAAAGAAAATCTGTGTGTGAGCTCTTCTGAGAAAGAACAAGTGTGTGTGTTTAACATTATCTAAACTCAAAATGGGTGGAAACTCTGAGATTTTCTTCTAACCTCGTGTAGCTTTAATGAAGAATATCGATGAGATTATTTCTTTTAAAATTGAAATTATAATGGAATAATTGTTGTGTTCATTTGCAATGAGTGAGACTTAAATTTCTTTCTCCCTTAAGTTGGACTATATGCAAATTAGTATCATTCTAATTATGTGATTAGCATACTTTGATCTTAAGTTGATAGTTTAGCCTTCTGCACAAAATTTACTCCTAATCTAATCACATAGGATGTTAAAATGGGTTATGATCTAGCACTATACAGGTCGGCTAGAGGAACAATTAGGTTAACTACACAACTCTAAGAGAATAGGAATATTGTTGTTATTATGGTGCAATTGTGTAGAAAAATTTACAAACATTAGAGTTTTTGCATGATTAGAAGACTAGCTATAATATGAAACCCTAATTTTCTTATGACAATGAGAGTAAGCTAGTGGAATAACTAGGTTTAACCATACTACTCTAGGAAAATATTAATATTGTTGTTAGAATGGTGTAATAGTATGACAAAATTTGCAAAAGTTAGAGTTTTTGAATGGTTAGGAGCCTAATGTAGTATGAAACCTAATATTCTTATGACCATTAATTAGGAGAGGCAAAGAAAAACGGTTGTTCCTGATTTTGTCAACTTCATTAGAGCACTTTAATAAATATACTTTGTATATGACCAATTTAATGAATATTTTCTATCACTTGTCCAAACTCAAAAACTAGTTATATGTTTTATTTTTTGCAAAAATTGGGATTAGAAACTTTAAAATCACCAAATTTTGAACCTTAGGGCTAGACTCAAAACCAATAGACTAGAAATTTTCGAGAATTTTAAAGTTCACTCGTTATTCGTAGGATCGATACATGAATCAAATCCGTATATTATTTGGTCACATGTATACTTGCATGTATAATCAATGTTTCATAGCATTTCGCTCATAATAATTTTTTTACACCATTGTTGGGAAACGACATTGAATTTCGATTTTACGAAGGAACCGTTAGCTTTAAACTTGAAAATCGTTGTGTTGTATTTTTTCGGTATTTTATGTACTATTTTCTGTGTTAGAAAATCCAAATAGAATTGTGCTTCATATTTCTATTATTTTACATATATTTAAGTTTATCTTATTTTTGCATATTTGTGTGTATTAGTGTTCTGTTAGATTTAAAATCACTCACTTGATAGCCCTAGTTATGTACGCATGAGAATTTAACTTCGGAACTAGTGTCATACTAACTTGAACTTGAAAAAAAAAATTTAAAGAAATCCATAAAATTTAAAAAATATTAGGAGAGGATGTCAAATCACAAGTTGTCGTCAACCTTAATTGCACGGGTAATTGCCATATCTATGAAGATAGATAATTTCGATTTGAATTTTTCACTAGGATCACTAATGAATGATGAAATTCTCATGGAAATTTTGAGAATTCATAGTACTCTGCATGTAAAATAGCCTCAAAATGATGGACATCAATATTCACGTTTAAGTCATCGCAACTTTAACAGTGCAAATTTTTTCATCTAGAAGTGGTCTTCAATAGTTATATTTTGGTCATTGAATTAGAATTAGGAAAGGCCACCAACCACCAAAGAGTTTATTCTACAACAAACGCAGCATTTTCAAGATGGTCGGTTGATTCAGGTTGTTTGGGTGACTCATATCCTAAAACACGATAGCACTTCCAAGAGTTAGTGATGTTATCAAAATCACCGGTGTGGTTGCCAAATGGGATGTTGCTAGTGTTCCTGATAACTCGAAGCCACTGCCTCGTCTCCATCATGAACTAATGGAACTCCAAAGTTAAGAGAATCCACCCAAGGTTTGAGAGGGGCAGCAACCTCACATATTGCCAACCAGCTAAGACCATCGCTACAATTTCAGGCATTGTTGTTGTGTGCCATGGTTGCTATGGTTGGCCTAACACCAAAATGACAAAAAACGGCAATGAGGTGAGCAAATTACTTTTTTTAAGGATAAATTTCATTCTTTTAAAAAATCTGCACAGCATTATTACAAAACTCCTTTTCACCTTTTATCCAACAGCAACAACAAGCCTTTATCCCACTAAGTGAGGTCGGCAACATGTATCCTTTATCCTTTTCACCTTTTCCCCATTGGGGAAAATTAGGTACTCACAAAGCTAAAAGGCTAAGTTTACCAAGCATTGGTATAACAATAATTAGATACAAAATAATATATAAGCAAGGAAATTAAACACGGATAACATATGAATAAGAAATCATACATTAGGTATACTTCCTCTTAAGCTCTTCTTACAGGCCTAGTAGAATTTCTACTTCCATAGATAAAGCATATAATGGTGGATACAAGGTGCAGCCCATTAGCATAGGAGGTGGACCAAAGGTAGGACCTTCAAACACCAATGTTGGACTTACTAACAGAGCCCAGTCAAGGAGAACTAATTCACCTTCAAGAGGTTCAATTACTAGAAAGTATGAAGATTAACTTTGAATATATTTTTCAATTATGTCATTAGTATTCATGTTTATTTCATATTTTAATGTGTATGTTTAAGTAGTTATTTGCAAATTTGTGACTTTAGTTCATATAGTTGTTGATCATAAATCAATATTCTTGCTGAGGTGTCATGTTTCATGTTTTGTTGGAGGTCAAAATCACTAAGGGGGGGATGGTCAAGGAAGTAATATTGGCAATTGTGTTGACGAATTCAAAGAGGAACTCTAACTTCACCCGCCTTATATTATTAGATTTTTTTAAGTAATGAAATGTGTTTTTGGGAAGAAATTTTTATGATTTTTGAAGTTAAGAAAAATTGCTTCTTTCACCTACTTGAAGTTATATTTTTAGATTTTGTTGTATCAGTGGATGGTCTGAAAGCAAATACATAAAAAATATAATATATTATCAAATGGCATTCCAAAATCTCTTATAAATATTAGAATTGTTAATGGATTACCATTTTATAGCAAAGATTAATCAAAAAATTCCGATACCACAAAATCCTAAAAAAAGATAAATTTGTTTGGACTCTAAGGATAAGAGACTCATGAGAAAATCAAAATTCTAATAATCTCATCACCCATTTTAAAACTCCAATTTTAACAAAATATTTGAAGTAACCTATGATGTTTCAGTATAAAATTTGAGAGAGTCTTAAGCCAAGAGAATTATCTAGTTTCCCTTTTTATTGAAAATTTGAATGATGCTAAACAAAAATATTTCACATATGATACAGTATTGTACACAATCTTTCAAATACTTAAACAATTGAGGCACTAAATTTTGCATAAGTAGTTTGTACTTAACACAAATCACTATGGTCGAAAATTTAATAACACTAAAAAAATTTAAGTTAAAGACATTCCATACAGGTGAAATACCTCCAAAATTATATCTGTTCTAAAACATAAATTTAGGATGGATAATAAGCCAGTAGATGTTTAATCCAGTGTATCTCTCATAGTCTCATCTGTAGAGTTCTAATTTTCAAGATTTAAATACTTGAAAGAAAACTATAAGATTTGCTCTAAATTTCATGTTATCTATTTAGAGCACGAGTCAAAAATATTAGCATTTTATGGCTCTTTTCTCTTTATAGATGGTTATCTTTACAAATATAAGAGACTATATATCCTAGAACCTCCATAAGAAAAAAATTTTTATCATCAAACATTATTCTGGGAGAATTGTTGTACATTTTAGGAAATTAAAAATCCATATTTTAGTAGAATAAAGATTTTACTAGTCATTTATAGGTACCATATTGAGAGAATTATAACCCAATGTTATACTTGTCTTCAAGTTAAAACTACAAAGCAAAAAAAGAAAGTCTTTAAACACCTTTGTCTATTTCTTCTAGGCCTTGGGACGACACATCTATAAACTTTGCTTTACCCTCGACACCTCGAGGCCATGAAAGAATCTTTGTGGTTGTTCATAAATTCCATAAGATGTCACATTTCATACCTTGCTGCAATACAAATAATGCATCTCAAAATGTTACAAATTATAGTTATGTCAATGTCATTGAAGGAGGCTTAGTGGCTAACTTTAATAAGGGGTCTGGGTAAACCCTTAAAATAATTGCCTTCAGGAGTAAGGATCTTTACATCCTTGCAAGGACATTCTAAATTTTCCGTTGTTTTTTTTAATTCATGTTTCTATCATGTTTTTAATAAAAATCCAATGTTTTTCTTAGTTCGCATCTAAAGCTTAATTGAAGAGTTAGTCAAATGGCTGAAATTTTGGAATAAATTCAGAATCCCTTTTAATTAAGTAAACAATTCAAGGCTAAGTACATCCAAATTTTTCATATCATTTTGCATTATATTTATCTACAATATCTCTAATTTATTGGGGGCTATTATAGTTAAACTTCTAGAGAATTAAAATCTTACAGTGTAAACTCTAGTTCTATGTATTTTCTAGTTTCTCTATTTTCAATCATTTATTTCTCTGAAAAAATTATTAAAGTTCATAGAAAAATTCTCAAAATTCTAAATCTTAAAATTAGGATCTCCGTAACATTTTTAAGAGAAAACTTAGGATTTCACTCAACCAATTAAAATTCCTAACAAAAACCATAAACTTTGTCCGTACTAGACAGAACTGACCTCTAGCCCTTCCAAAAGCCAATTTCACTATAAAGTATTATCCAATTTAATAAGCTTTCAGATCCATAGTAGGCTCAAATCCCTACAATTCAAGCTTAGGTTTATCAAATTTGAACTTCTGTAGATAAATTTATTAAGAAAGCAAACGGGAATTACAGGTTCTTGAAAGAAATCCAAAATCCTCCTTCTAAATCACCACTACCCCTATATTCTTAGCTCCACGAATCAATTGGCCAAAATATCACTCTTACACTCTCCTAAACATCTTAGGAGACCCTCTCATCCACCAGTTGGGTCACTTAAGTGATCTAACCCCTCTGCATCACCCACCATTTCTATGAATAATTTAAACCAGTTCCTTAAGTTGAATATACACAAACCATTGCTTAAAATTATCAAATCAGCAATAAAGACGGCACCTGTGAAACTAAGAGCCGCACAAAATGAAGTAGGAACTTTGACTAGGAATGTAATGTGACCTGGCAGGGGATACGGAAACGGGGACGAAGGGGCAATCCTCGCCGTCGCTCTCGGGAGGGTCGACATTGAGATCGGCTAAAATAACAGTCTTAGGCGGTCGCAGCGGCAGAGATGGATCGTCCAGAGCCGGAGTCTTTGAAAGTGTTTGGTCGCCACTTGCTGCGGCCGTTTGCTCTTCTTGCATCACTACCTACCCTGTTGGCGCCGGCTTGGCGCTTTACCGAGGCTTATTTTGGTTACAAAAAGGCGCAGGCAAAATATTACATCAGTGCTTAGAATTAACATGCCTCGCTAATGAAATCACGTCACTTAGAATTAACATGCCTCGCTAATGAAATCATGTCACGACATCCCGCACGATTGAAAAAAAAACGGCACAATAATATGGGGAATATTCATTTTTGTACTATTCATGTGTTATTACATGACATTCATGTGTTATTGTGTATTATTCATGTGTTATTAATGTGTTATTGTGTTATTATAACACCAAGAATATTCTCAGGACACAATAACACATGAATAATACACAATAACACCTGAATAATATGGGGAATATTCTCGATAGAGAAAAAAGAGGCGCAGTAACACTGGAGAATATTCTCCCCCATATTATTCATGTGTTATTGTGTGTTATTCATGTGTTATTGATGTGTTATTGATGTGTTATTGTGTTATTATAACACCAGGAATATTCCCATGACACAATAACACATGAATAACACACAATAACACGTGAATAACACGGGAGGAATATTCTCCGTGTTACTGCGCCGTTTTTTCTCTATCGCGCGGGGTGTCGTGGCGTAATTTTATTGGCTACCCACGTTACTCTACGTGCGTAGTACTAATGTAATATTTTTTTTCCGGATGAACGACGCATGCATAATGGCTGACTATACGGGCCCTCTTATAAAAAACTAAAAATTATTGGATAAGTTTTATATCTGGACTCCAATAAAGCTCTGGTGCAATACTGAAGAACGACGCATGCACAGTAATGGCTGGCTATCTTACCTGCCCTCTTATAAAAAAGTTAAAAAAATTGAATAAGTTTTGTATCTGGATAGCCCTGATTGAAGTCCCGATCTAAAATTGCATCAGGATACAATAATTTCTCGATAAAAGGAAGATAAGTGGGTGATCGTCGAAATCACATCGATCAAATTTGTTTAGTTTGCTTTAATAGTTTAAATTTTGATTTATTTATAAATTATAATTTTCATTTTTTTAAATTATCTATATTTAATAAAATCAATTTTCAATAATCTCTTCACATTTTAGATCAATAATTTCATGGAAGTAAATATAGCTTTTTATTCTTTTGCATGTTAAGTGTGGCGTGCCGAAGAATTCGTGGTGATACATACATACATATATATATATATATATATATATATAGATTATGTGTGTATGTGTGTTCATATTTTAGTATTGAACTAAAATCGAGCACACACACATAAATAAAAGATGAATTGATAGAGGGGACATCAATGTTTTTTATGCTAAAAATCAAAACAGAAAAAAATAATTAGGCCTAGTCTAGTTGAAACAATTATACTATTCAGATATATGTTACAAGACTTTGTCTTCCTTTTAGCAACAAAAAATAATTTTACATGATAGATAATCTTTGGTAAGTGACGGCAGCCCAATTGTGATGATAGAAGCTTGACGGTAGGGGCAATGTGATGGCTATTTGGAGTCATTAATACATATGCAGGTGGCAGGTAAGCAACAATGATCAAATAACATTAGTGGCAATAGACAAGCCATGATGACCTAAAAATGTAAATTTGACAATGGTGGTCTAACGATAGCAATCAAGCCAATTGGGCACCGACGGTTTGACGACAACCACAACAATGACCTAATATTTGTGGTTGCAATAATGGCATCAGCCACATGGTCATGTTTCGATGGCTAAAGGTAGGTCTATAACAGTGAGGGTCGGGAGATAATGACTTGGCGAGTACAGTAGAGGACTAGTGACAATAGTGGCACCTATAGCATTAGCAAGGAAATAGTGATCTGAAGGCAACTATTTGTGGTACAGCGGTGTCGACAAAGCGATAGAAGAATGGCAGTAACAATAGTTGGGAGGTGGTGATCGGGAATGACGGTAGTGGGGATAGAAGTGGATTTTGCTAGATAAAGAAAATATAACGAATATTGTTTGGTTTGATGACATCACCAAGGAAATAATGGTTTGGCATTATCGGTAGTGGTGGCTAAGCAATGTTGATGGCAATAGTGTCATTGACAGTAACTGTGGTGGTACCTGAGCAGGAGTGATCTAATGATAATGGCGGTATCAATTGAGCAAGGGTAATTCAACAATCGTGATGGCTTGATAAAGATGCTCCAACATAATGAGGGTGGCATTTAGAAGATGATGATCCTGCAATAGCAATGGAGTGCCACAATAGCGATGAAAGTGAATGTACGGTGATCTATTATAGTGTCGGGCAAAAAATGATGATTTGATGACGGCTTTCAAGAGTGATGATCCGATATTGATGGTGGTATTCTAATGATGGCAGTTTGATGGTCACGTTAGTGGCCCTATGATAATGGTCTAAACTGTGGCTCGACATCATTCGATGATGGTGCTCTTATGGCAGTGGCTTCCTGGTGGTGATGGTTTGACATGGTGGTCCAAAAGTGGTGACATAATGGTGACGATAGTGGCTCGACATTTATTAGGCGTGGTAGTCCAGTGGTGATAGTATCTTGATGATAGTGTTCTGGTTTAGAGATGGCGGCGCAACACCAATGGTGGTGACTTGACTTTGATTGGGTCTTGATGGACTTACGACGATGAAAACTTGATGATGGGTGGTCGATAAGGCATCAGTGGTCCTACAACGGCAGCCTGATGATAACGACGATAGTTGACACTATTTGACATGATTGTGTTGGCTTGACATCAGCCAAGTGATGGTGGTCCTATGACCGGAGCAGTTTGACGACAGTGGTTTGGCACTGCGATGGTGGTTAGGTGATGGTGGCCTGACTATGTCATAGTTGTCAGATGATACTCATGATTGTGGCTTGGCATTGGTCGAGTGAAAGTGATTTAATGGTGGTGATAGCTCAAGGACCGTAGTCTGACATGGAGATGATGGCCTAGAGTTAGTGGTCCAGCATTGGCATTATGAAGGCTACAATGATGGTGGCCAGGCGGTGGTGACAACAGCCCAATGACATTAGTCCAACTTTGCATCAGCAATCTAGCATGGCAGCAGTGGCTTGGAGTCATTATTTCAATGATGGTGGCATGACGATGATGGTGTTAGCCCAAAGTTAATGGTCATCCGGTAGTGGCAATAATAGTGGTCAGACAACAGTGGTAGTCTAGAAACAATAGCCGAACATCAATAATAATCGGACTATGGTGGTCTGGCGGCAATGGTCGGGCAACATGGTCAAAGGAGGGGATCATGGAGGCCATGCAGTGGTCGTCCAACTACGACAACTTTTGACAGAAGTGGTTCGACAACGACTATAATGCTAACCAACAGTAGCCTAGCTGAGATGACCCAACTATGGCGACAATTATGGAGACCTAATGAAGAAGGTCAGCGACAACATCCTGGCAATGGTGGTTCAGTGATGGTGGTGGGGATAGTTCAAAGATAGTGGTTAGTGGTTCGGTGGTTGTGAAGCTCGAGAATTTTGAAAAGCTTCGAGCTCTTTTCAACTTCTCATTTAGGTCAAATTCTCAATTCATTAAGAGAGTGGGGCATATTTATAATTTTTGTGAATGGCATTCTCTACAAATATTCCATGAATCATGACCACTCTATCGATGGCCGAAAGTGATTCCCTTTATCGGATATAGATTTATGTATCCTTGATGACACTAGAATGAAGTGATTTCAAGCTCATTGGATTTGTCTCTTCAAGATTATTGTTTTGACTAAAAACAAACCATATTTGAAGATCATTTAGTCTCCCAAAGTATATTCAAAACCTTTCTCTTTATAGTTTAGGTGCATTATTTGAGCTCATTTGGACTTAGATAGGATCATTCCTTATATCATTTTGTTATCCTCACTAAGGCACTTCATTTTATCTTAATTGGAGTGCAAAAATTTCTAAATTTAATTTTTGAAGCTTTTGATCCAAAAATGCATTGAGATTTCTGTAATTCAATATGATTTTTTAGAAACATATTTGATAGAATTGTAGATTTTAATAGAATTACTTCTATTTTTTAATAAATATTTTTAAAAATTTAAAGATAATTAGATTCATTGTTGAACTCATTTTATTTTGTTGTATAAAAAAAAAAATACAATGGACCATTTTAGGACCATTTGGAATCATTTCAATTTTAGTTTTATGCTTTAATTTTTTTTTTTTATTATATTTTGATTTGAAATGCATTGAATTTAGAGTGTTAAGAGGATTTTGGAAGATATATATCACTCAATTCTTATGTATTTACATTCTAATATTTAAACTTCAATGGTTATATTACATGTCATTTTACATATTCATGAGAAGATATATTTTATTTTTTTTAAATTAGACTGATTATTTTTTTGCTTGATATGAAAGATTTGAGCAGTATAACTCTAAAAAAGCGGATAGGTAAATTCATAGTAATTGAGGGGCGTGTATGTAAATGCACTTAAAATTTTCTTTTTTATTTTTAATATGAAAAATTATTTATTAAAAATAAGTGCCCATGCGGTGGTGGCCAGTGCACAAGCGGACAACAACTGGTGGAGGCTAGGGTTGTAAACGAGTTGAGCCTGAGCGAGCTCAGGTTGGGCTCGTGTTTGGCTCGTTTGAAACTGGCTCGTGTTTAAAATTGGCTCGTGTTCAAAATGGCTCGTCAACAGTGTACGTGTTCGGCCCGAATAACATGTTTATGTTCGTATTCGGCTGGAAATTGGCTCGTTATAATATAAAATTATTATAATAATAATTAAAAAAAATAATATTTTTATTTTAAAAATTTCAAGAACAAATTTCATTCATAAGTTCAAGAGATTTATTAACTAAAAAATGATAACATAAAAAAACTTTGTAAGAGCAAAATTGATTATAAAATTTTACACGAGAATATTAATATTATTTGACAAAAACTTACAAAATAAGAACCAATTTATTACAATTTTTAAAATGTACAAACTAAACAAGAGTAAAAAAAAACTCAAAATATAAATCAAAATCTAAAAAATAATTGTATTGAACATTTTATTCTTCTTATGTTTTACATACAA